GTAATCGTAAGGGTAGATTTAGAATTTATAGAGAATTTATATGAAAAAAGACCAGATTCAGAAATCCCTTGGAGAGCTATCTACTTTTTTAACTTGGAAAAAAAAGTGATTTCTGAGAAAGCTTGAGTAAAAAAAAACATGTTCCTAAATGACATCAAAGTTTTTTTTTTGTAATTGATTTCAAAGTTTGTGTTGTAACCCAGACATGAAGAAGCTCTGAAGTTTTATTAACTCTAAATATAAATGTGTTATTTTATGTCAGTTAAGTTTATCACTAGTAGCATCCTTGTAATGTTGCTTCTTCCTGTTGCTGATCTCAGAGCAGTGAGTTGGAGGACCTGCTGGAGGACCTGCAGAGCGGCACCCAGCAGCAGCAGCAGCTGTTTGTGGGGCAGCCACCAGTCAGAAGACCAGCCTCGTCCTCCTCCTCCTCCTCTGTGCCGCCTGGATCCTCTGTGGACAAACAGACCATCATCAGCAACATCCTGCAGATGACAGAAAGCAGCAGCAGCAGCAGCAGCAGCCCCCCGAGCCAGCCGAGACCTTTCCCCCCTCTCCCCACCGCAAGTACGTCTGAAACACTGATTCTGTCCGTCTTCCTTTTTTTTTGGTTACAATCTACTACATAAGAGACAAGACAACCTTCTTCATGTGTCTGTGTCAGGTTATGAACATAAATCAAACATCCTCTCAGCAGGCTTTAACGGTGCCAGACCAGGCCAGCCGGGTCGAGGCGCTCCTCCGGTCAGGAGCGCATCTCTGGACGGCAGCATCGGGCCCAACCCCAACGCTGGCAGGCCGTTTCCTCCTCAGCACAGACACAACGCCCCCTACTCCTTACTGCAGCATCAGCAACAGCAAGGCATGATGGGAGCCCATGCAGGCATGGCCAATCCAGGTCAGACAGGAAGAGAATTCAAAATGTGTGGCAGTTCTGCTGCAGCTTTTAAATCACATCAGATACACATCTTACATCTCTCTTTGTTTCGAAATAAACAACCATGGTTCTGGTTTTTCCTCAATTCAGGCATGCTGAGTAATGGGTCCATGCGGGGCCCTATGCAGCAGGGTTGGGGTCCCCAGGGGCCCTTAGGGGGAAACGCAGGGACGATGATGGGTCAGGGTGTCGGACCGGGCCGCATGGTCCCAAACATGAACACAGCTATGCCCACCAGAGGCCCGCCTGGATCCAGAGCCATGGTCAACATGCAGATGATGGGCAACGGTGAGACGCAAAAAAAAAAATCATAAATGAAAACTGACACCAGCTGTCAGCAACGACTGATCATGATGTTTCGTTTTTTATTTCTGTTTCCTTCAGAGATGGAGATGGCAAGCCCCGCCTACCCTCAGCAACAAGCTCCGCCCAATCAGACTGCACCGTGGCCAGACCGGATGATGTCTATGGATCACTATGGAAACCAAAGCAGGTATGGCATTCACTCGATTGTAAGAGCGTAAACAAAAGTCAAGATTGAGGCATAAGTAGGCTTTGCTGAATCACAATGACACCACCGTTTCCCTTCCAGGCCGCCGTACGGCGTCCCCCAGGGGGATGGGATGGGGTGCTGCGGCACGGGGCCTGAGGGGCCGCCTGATGAAGGAGCCCTGCTGAACCAGCTGTGCTCAGTCTTGAAGGACTTTGAGGGTCTGGAGGAGATCGACAAGATGCTGGGAATCCCGACGCTGGCTGGACAGGTGAGCTCCTCACAACACTGCAAACAATATTGACAAACCTGAGCCCGATTTTTGACATATTTGGAATTACTAATTGATTGCTCTAGCTTCCAGCTACAAAACGGGGTGTAGAAGCTGAAACACAATCTATGCAAAAAGCTGTGCCCAGTCAAAAAATGTCCATTAAAAGTGCCAAAGTGTTAATCTGAAAGTGTCTCAAAGCATCAAATAAAGGACCCCTACACGGATAGAGCTTAAATATTTATAGTAGAAATCACTTTTTTGAAACCAGAAACAGCCTTTACAAACATGAGAATATAAGATTCAAAGAGAAAGAAAGAATTCTGACATTAGGAAAACATGAACGAAGGCAGCAGAAGACGAGCAGGTTCAGTTTTGTTAAAGGGGGAGTAGCAGAGAATCACTCCCATGATTCCCCGCCAGCCTCTCGACGTCATCTTTTGTTTTATTGAGATCCCCCTGGTGACGGATTTTACATACTGTGCGTGTTAAGTTAAACTTCTAAAGCTCATGTGATTCCTGTCCTTCATATCTGGTCTCTCCTCCCCCTGCAGGGTCCTCTGTCAGACCACGACCAGTACCTCGGCCCCCCAGACCCGTCAGCCACCATGAAGCCTCTCCTGTATAATCAACAACACTACGGCGGCCACTCCGGTTACGGCAGCATGCCCCCTGACGGCGGCTACCACGGCCCCACAATGGGCGGCCACATGGTACCTCAGAGGATGCCGCCCGCCGGTTACCCCCCGATGATGAGAATGCCGGGGAGCGTGGGGCCCAGACCGGCCGGGATGAGACCAGGGGGGCCAAATCCGGGAGTGCCACCTCAGCCCAACAACCTGAGGCTCCAGCTGCAGCACAGACTCCAGGCACAGCTGGTGAGTGACACCCGATGTTTACTATCAGTCCCTCCCACCGTGCTGTGATGTTTGGCAAACAACAAACAGAGAATTAAGTGGATAGAGGAGAGGAGCGAAAGGCTCCTGTCAGACGGGGATTCAAACCATCAACCTCCTCGCTCACCAGCCTGCAGCCTGCAATACAATTTAAATAACTTTCTTCACCCGTTATGAACTGCTAAAGTTGACCTAACCTATGGGGAGCGCTCACAGATGTTCTACTTCACTAACAAATTCAGATTTTCTGTCTCTCTTTTTTTCCAATATTTTAATTTTACTGTATTTGTTTTATTTACCCACAAGCGAACCCGCCTGCCGGGGAGCCCTCGCTCTTTTGTACAAATAAAAAAAATGTCCCACGCTTCGACGAGTGAAAAAGCACTCCGGGGCGCAGTCAGTTACAAATCAGCTGTCACACTTACCGTGATACAAATCAGTCAGGCGTCACAAGAGAGGAGGAGAGAAAAAAAAACAACCAAAAGAAACCCGAAACCAGGCTCACCTCAAAAATTAAACCACTGTCCAGCTGAGGAAGGGATAATACTGACCTTCCCCCAAGTCGAACTTCAGAGCAGCCACGTTTGAGTGGTGAGCGTGCTGTTTAAAATAAATCCCTGTTTTATTGTCAATTTGATTCTAAATGCCACAATAAGAAATGAGCATCAAGTGTGATTAAAGAACACTTTAAACATCACTTTTCTCATCTACTTTCATACCATAAAATGTCTTTTTGCAACCTGTGGAGTCGCCCTCTGCTGGCCTTAAAGGCACTACACCTGCAGGTTAGGCACCTGTTTTATTTCTAAACCTCTCTAAAGACATTCTTGTCTTATTTCAATGGGGAGTCTCTCTTTTTATTTTTTATTTTTTTCCTGCTCAGGCCGTGATGCAGCAGATCAGGCCGTGAAGGGAGCGAGGTTCACTGAGTTTAATCAGCTGCAGCCTCAAAGGAACAAAATGCTTTTTACAGCTTTCTGCCTTCATCAGCGATTACCTGCTGCAGAGACGCTTAGTAATGAACACATGTGATATATATTTATATACACACACACACACGTAGAGATGACTGATTAAGATGACTACATGCTCAGAGCGGAGCTTCTGTGACTGACTGAAAACACGAGTCTTGTCTCTTTAAAAGCCTCTTGTCCTCTTTGCACTCCTTTACTCCACTGTGTTTTCATTCAGGTGTATGTAAGGTCATTCATGATGTTTCTGTTTTTATTTTACCTCCATAGTCATACATGTTCATCTTAAAGGGAATTCATCTCTTAGTGTGAACTAAGGATTCCCATATTTACATTTTCAACATATTAAACTCTTAGCTGCCACCTGGTGGAGAGTTGAGGAAACAGCAGGTGTGTGTATAAAACTGAAAATAGCGCTGATGATTTAGCAGCTGGTTCTGATGTGAGACACGACTTCTTGCACTTCCATCTTTAGGTTTCTGTCGGTGTGAGTGTGGAGACAGTGGAGTCAGAGCCTGACAGAAAACTCTAAATACATTTGTTCAATCTTTGAATGCATAAATGAGTCATTAAGTTAAAGGTTTTACACGTTTAAATCTTCTTTGCAAGGGTTCATGTGCTAAATTTAAAGTGTAAAAAATATGCATGCACACAGAAAAAAAAGCGTTTCAATTTAAGAAATAAAAAATAGAGTATGATGTTCCTTTGAAATATAAATATTTAAAGTATTTCTACTCCTACAGACGAATTACGAGACTCAAACCTCAACAGTCTTAAGGCTTTTATGGTGAAATATCATAACCATTCTGTAGTTTAACTTTTGAAAAACACAGTTCAGTGTTTGGAAAACAATTCCTTAAATAGACCTCAATTTGTTGCAGAAAGTAAGGTGGTACCGATGAGGAATACATCACTAAAATAAGGTGAATGCCCGATCCTAACAAAGTAAAACTGAAAAGATTCAAAATCCATAAAGACTGGCTTTGATTGGCTCTTAGATTGATAAAGGTAAGGTAAAGTTGTTTCATTTGCAAGAGGTCGCTGTTTAATAAAGAAACATTTATGACTCGCTTCATGTCCTTTAACTGACATGACTAATCACAGTGATGTTTTTTTAAAGCCTTGGTTCTGGATGATGTGTCCTGTACATTTCCATTCAGCTCATTAAATCCCTCGTCTCTCTCTCCCTTATAGAACCGTCAGCCGATGGTGAACCAGATGAGCGCAGTGTCCAACATGAATCTACCTCTCAGGTCTAATGTACCAAACCAGGTCAGTCTATACGAGAGAGTGTGTGTGCACATGTATTTATAGGAATCTCTGCCACTCTCCTCCCTTAGACATGGCAGCCTTACAGCTTTACAGATGTATTGGATTTAAATATGTACGAGTCAAAATGACAGTCTGATGTGTCCTTTCAGCATCACTGACTAAATGTTAAAAGAGCGTGCCATAGTTTTAGTCTGTCGTCTGTTTCAGTATTTTAGTTTTAATTTGAAATGTCACTTTTTCTTGTTTTCATTTCAGGGAACCCTCAACGCTCAGATGCTGGCCCAGCGTCAGCGCGAGTACCTCAGCAACCACCTGCGCCAACGGCAACAGCAGCAGCAGCACGCGCACCAGCAGCGTGCAATGATGATGCGCACTCAGGGCGCCGGCGCTCCGACGCCGATGTCCATGGGCGGCGCCAACCCGCGGCTCCCGCAGGGCAACCCGCAGCAGTTCCCCTACCCGGCCTCCTCCAGCTACGGTACCGGCCTGCCCTCTCCTCCTCCTCACCCCAGCTCCACCAGCCCCTTCTCCTCCCCTCTCTCCCCCGGCCATCACCTGGCTTCCCAGGGCATGATGGGAAATGTTGGCGGGCAGTACGGCGGTGTTATGAGTCCGCCGGCGCAGCACAGTGCCTACCAGTTCAGCAGTTCAGGTATTTGAAGAGAGCGCGGCAGTGGCGTCGCAGCAGTCTGTGTGTGCTGTTTTCCTGTGCGGTGGCGGGAATCAAATATAATCATCTAAGTTCTTCTCATCATTAGAAGGGTTATTTTAATAAGTTGATTGAGGTGGTTAAAGGCTGCATGATGCTTGTTAATGTTTGCTAATCAATGCTGCGTATGATTTCCTGCTTTTGTCTTTGATTGAACCCCCTGTCATTAACCAATCAGGAGACGACATGTTGTAATTGTGTGTGGGAAAAGCTTTGCTGGTGGTGTTGTAGAGCAAAATGCTTCTCTTTGCTTTTCTTTTATTTGTTGACTCCCTGTGTCTTCTTTTTGTCTTTCAACTGTTTTTGTGTCTGCCTCTGTGTCTCACTCTTAACCAAAACAACATGAAGTCTTTGAACGAGGAGCAGAATTTGATTCAAGGAGTTTTGTTTAAGTTTGGTACATGAAAGAAAATGTACATTTTTTTTGTCTCAGGGGCATTCTGAATAAAACACCCTGTTGAGTAGAGGTGGGAGAAAAAATCCATACGGCATAGTTAGCTATATTTTGTGTGGCGATTTTATATCGTCTCAAAGCTGCCAAGTATCGATATTTTAGAAAAAAAAATCAGGTCCAAGTTGGATTAGACTGAAATACCAACAGATCGGATTGTGAGGTACTTTTTGTCACAGTGTTGGTGCGTCTGTGGGCTTGACTCCCCTTCTGTAGAAATAAAAAAGACTGAAGTGAGATGAAGAGACTGAGAAAGTTTCTCGTATTTGACAAAACAGTTCTTGATTTAGTTTAACTTTGTGGACAAAATATGCAGTTAAAAAAGTTCAATTTGCAATATATTGTATCAGGATTCTCAGCATATCGTAAAATGTTTGAAATTTGGGCCTCCTGTGATTCCCATTTCCCACCCGTACTGTTTAGTCTGGATATTGAACTTGTTATCCTCAGGTTTGTGGATGTCATTGACAGGTTCAGATTTGTTTGCTACAGAGAGGATGAAAGGATTTTAAAGAGGATGAAACTTCTTAAAGACATAAAACAGCCCTGACATATCCCTCTCCCAAGCCCAAAAACTCTTATGACAAAAACAGGATTTTTACCCAACAGAAAACAGGAGATGCATCTAAAGCCGCCTCATTCAGTAGGATTGTTAGTGCTATAGTTTATTATATCCAAACTAGCCAACTTTAGACTCCAAAGTCACACAATAACACAGAAGAAAGCTTGCTTTGTTCAAGGAAAAAATACAGCTTTTGTTAGGAGACTCAAAGAGAGCGATACAATGATTGTTGATAGTAAAGAAGGTAGGCTCTTATTTACCCTACTAAAGCTCTACTCAGACTGAAGTTACAAGCCCCCTCTGTACTGTCTTCAGAGGTAGTAACAGAGGCAAGATGGTTTCAGTTGAACCAGCAGGAGGAGCACAGCGCTGTGTGTGTGTGTGTGTGTGTGCGTGAGTGTGAGTGTGTGGCGCTTTAACTGTGTCGTTTTTACACAACGCTGAAACGCAATTTGAATTCTGAGACTCGGACAAGAATATTATGACGTCCTGACATCAATGTGAATGTACAACAACGTGGTGACGGCTGAAAAGGGCTTCAGTAGGGATCGTCAGGGGCATCAAAAAACTCTTTAAGGGGACCTCTTGAGTTCAGGCACATTCCACCTCGCGTTGCAGTGATTAAGACTAAAGTTTAAAGATACTTGGATTCCCCTTTAAGGTTCTAAAAGTAGTGTTTATGCAGAGAAAACATCCAACTAGAAATAAACAAGACTGCCTCTAGGTTTAGGTTTGTCTCTTTTGTAGCTAAAGGTCGTTTCATTTGCTCGTGTCCGCAGCAATGAGCCAGCAGCAGCACCAGGACGCAGTGTCAGGCTTCCCATGTGGGGCAGCGACCCCTCAGAGCCCCATGCTGTCCCCCAGGATGGGGCAGGGCCAAAGCCCCATGCTGCAGCACAACCAGGGCCAACCCCAAAGCCAGGGCGCCAACCAGGGAGGAGCACCGGGGTACCAGCCCGGCAGCGAGCTCAACGGGTGGCACCAACCCGCCAACGTCTCCACCAGCAACAGGTAACGACACACTTCACAGTCCATCAGGACATTAAGGAATATAAGTAAGTGTTTTGTTTTGTGAACAATATGTCGCCTCTGACTCTTCCTCCAGCATGTACCCCCAGCAGTCCCAGTCCCAGTACTCTGCACAACCCAGCGGAGGAATGTACAACAACAACAACAACAACAACAGCAACAACAACAACATGAACCTGGGAGTCATGGCGAGCAACGGCGGCAACATGAACCAGATGTCAGCCCAGATGAGCTCCATGAATACAGAGCAGGTGAGAGATTCACAATCGACCCCTACGAGAGCTTTTTTATTTGATTTATTTTTTATTGACTCGTCTTCATGATTTACCGTCTCACAGGTGTGTGACAGCATCCTGGGGCAGCTCGCAGAAATTGACATGTTGACACAAGATGGTGAAGCCAATTCGGTGAGTAAAAGGTTCTTGTCCTCTTACCTATAATGTTTAATTTACCAGGTATTCATCCAACAGGCATTGTGTTGTAAGAACGATTATTTATTTAAGTAATAATACATAATAATAACTTTATTTATATAGCACCTTTTAAAAACACAGGTTTACAAAGTGCTTTGACAAACAAGAACAAAGCAAACTAAACCAAACACAGAAGAACAGAAACAACAGTAAGAACAAACAAATGCAAAATACAAAAAATAATTAAATACAATTCAACAGAAAAGAACCCAAAGTGCACGATACCCAACAGACATATAGAACCCGACCATCACAAGAACCATCATAAGAACCATCATAAGAACCATCACAAGAACCATCACAAGAACCATCATAAGAACCATCATAAGAACCATCATAAGAACCATCACAAGAACCATCACAAGAACCATCATAAGAACCATCATAAGAACCATCATAAGAACCATCACAAGAACCATCACAAGAACCATCATAAGAACCATCATAAGAACCATCACAAGAACCATCACAAGAACCATCATAAGAACCATCATAAGAACCCAGGCAACACAAGAGGTGGTTTTAGTACAAGCAAAAATGCAGATTTAGGCCATATGTTAGGTTCATGTAGCCTTGTGCTTACACAGAAGCTAACGTACGTAGCATAGCGTGCACCTCCCTTAAAAAATGTAACTACACGTCGAAACGATGCAGACAGAAAGCCCTGTGATTGGTCACCATTTCCTCTCCTGGCTCGCACCACATGTGATACATCACGAGTCTACCTATGATAAATGTATGTTCTTTGTACCATGAAACCTCTGTTTGTTTAAGGTAGGCTAACTTGTAGCATGAGCTAACAATGCAATTGAGATGATCATTTCATCTCCTCTCTTTTCTTCTTGTAGAATAATCCACTGCTGCTCAATATTTATCATCTCCCACTCTGACACATAATACCGTCTGTTTCAGTCGCCATGGTTTCCTGTTCACAAACAAGCAGGGAACATGGCCGAACCAGAAACTTGCGTTATACCTAACTAGCTAAAAAAATCAGACTAGCCAGCTAGCGTTTGTGTTGCAGAGCTACACAGACACACCAACACAGTATGTAAGTATGTAGTGCTCACAGCTCTGTAGCTCGGGCTTTGATTGGACGCAGAAGTATAAATTAGGCTTCAGCATACCCTGCACTATCATCTACCTTACTCTAAAGAGGACCATAAGTTACTAAAGGAACATCATGCTGTATTTAAGGAGGCTTAAAATGAAAGATTGAAACGTAATGCACAATATTCCTAAAGCCATCAAGAGAAAGTTTGCTTTCCCACTCTTCATATGGACACTTTAAAGGTCATATATATCCAAAATACACTTCACCATGTTTTTTAAACACTCATGTGTCCGGAGTCCGTCTACAAACCCCCCAAATATGAGAAAAGTCCATCCTCTCTGTCTTTTTCCTGCTCCCCTTTTTAGAAAATGTGTGCTCAAACAGGCCGTTTGGAGAGTTTCCCTTCATGACATCACAAAGAGCAGTAGCCCCTCCCCAGGTGGGTGACACTCCCACAGCTAGGTGTTTGTTCTGCCCTCTGAGTCTGCCTTCTCACTGCAAACAATAGGACAACCAAGCAAATAGAGGGGTTTATAGACATGATCAATACTGGATCAGAGTGGATTTAGAACAAGAAACTTCACAGACATGTTTTGAGGAGCTCTGAGACTTATTTAAACAGGTTGAAGACGAGGAGAATATGTCATCTTAAAATACAGCTGAATTAGAGTATTAGACATAATAACAGGACTCCGTTTTTTCACTTCAGAATTCAAGTTTTTTTTCTATAGAAAGGGTCGTGAAAGAAGAAGGCCAGACATCGACAGGCTCTTTTGATTTGATATGTCTTAAAAGTGTATAATAGATAAATTATCTAAGTTATTTAAGTGAAAGGATGTAAACATTTTAAACCCGATGTGTCAGTATTTCAGGGTTGGAGAGATTGTTTGAACAACGTCCCCCTCCGAGGTCGTTTTCTCCAGCCGTGGCTCGTCAGTGTTTTCTGTCAAAACAACTCTTTCGACTCTATTTGCTTTTTTTGTGATCCGGATTTTCTTTGTCTTTCTACAGAATTTCTGCTGACCCCGGCTACCATTGAGAAAAGGTAACACAGGAGCTCACTGCAAAAAAAAAAAAAAAAACAACACTCAAACCTGCTCAGCTCAGCTACTGGATCAGCTTTGAGGCGCTGAGGACACGTGATGGAAACACGAAACATGTTTTTGTCTCCGTCATACCAGCCGACTCAGAGGCTCAACGAGGACAAATATATATATATATATATATATATATATATATAAAAGACAGAGTTGTAAAGTTTAGTTTGCAGGTTTGTGTGTGCGTGTGGAACTGAAACAGATGTAATGATGTCACAGTTTGAGACGGGAGAGCCGAATGGTTGACGAGCACGAATGAAACCTCTGGATTTTTATCTTTAGCGGTTCTTTTTCAGAGCCGCACACGAGGACGTCGAATGAAAAAAGGTTTATGAAAAAATATTTTACAATTATTTATAGTTTTGAAAGAACTTTTAGAGATTATTTGTACAACATGAAGAAGAAAAAAAATCAAGGACGTGTTTCTTTAAGAAAATCTCCCTAAATGGTACATCATGATGTCGATTTTAAAATTAATATATTTCAACTGCTGTAGTTACAGGGGAGCTGTATCCCCCCATACGATGACTTTTTGAATGAAGGTGAATGTGTATAGATAGTGTAAATACAAAGATTTATAATACCCAATGTTCTCCTCAGTGACATTGTAGAGCAGCAGTTTAAGAGTCCTGCAAACATTTCTCAGAGAGCGGATATTTTATTGGTTAAACTGTACCTCAGTGGGCGGAGCTAAAATACCTGCAAGGCTCATCCTTTGCTGAATCCAATGGCAGTGAAGTTACATGCATGTTCTTGTAGTCTGATGTTTTAAGAAACTTGGTGTGTCAGCGTGTTAGCTACACATTCAGTAAGCCATATCTGAAAAGAGCTGTGTAACGCGCTCTCCTAGCGTAGCGTCGCCCTTTATTTTAAGCAACTCTGAAGCGTAGACAAGCTAACTAGCCAACCCAGTTAGCTGTGTATAACAGTCTCACGGTCTCCATGTCTCCAAAATAAAACACACAACTCAAAAACATTACGAAAAGTTTAAAATGCAATGCACTGATTTTTACATTTCAAAATGTAAGCTAATCAACGTGCTAGCTATCCGGCTTTTCTAGCTAGCTCCTGCCATCTCTCTACAGGTACTTTACATCTGAAAGCTAAGCTAAGCTAACTAGCAAACCTACTAAGCCTAGAATCGTTAGCTTAAAGAGCAACTTGCAGGTTGGAGACCTTCCTGAATCAGTTAGTATGACGATAACTTAAGATTCAACAAAATATATTAAAGACTCTTATCAGTCACTGCTGTACTCACTTTTGTGCGTTTGCATTAAAAACAGACGACCGCTGGACTGAAAATGGACGCTTTTTAATCTAAATTGGTGCCATTTTTTTTGTAAAACATTTCAAATCAACCAACCAAGGTGACGTATTAATGTAAATAAATAAATAACCTGCAAGTTGCTCTTTAAATCATTCCTCTTTATTTTCTTATCTCTTTTCCTTTTAGACGTCAGGACGGCGATGTTTGTACGTCAGTCATTTGATTTAATTTTCGATCCTTTTCAGAGGGAAATGTCTAACTATCGGATGTGTTGAGGTGAACTTCGATACAGACATTCATTTGAACACAGAAAACATTAATCCCTTGACTTTTCCTTTAGCACCATCATCAGGTTAGCCTTGTGATTGGTGACCTGATTCCTGCAGAACTAACACCATTCCCATCTGTTTCTGACTGTATGTCATGTCTGCATGCTAACATGCTAACATGCTACATGGTAGAACAACTGTCCTCGTGTTAAACTGACTTTAAGTCCAAACGTTTTTAAGCAGGAAGTAGATTTATTTGCTCCGCCCACTGACATTTATTAACCAATGAGATCTGTTCACCTCTAAAGCAGCTTTTCCTTTAAGAAACTATACAAACAACGAATGAAACTCTGTGTTACTTTGATCATTTTAAAAAAACACTTCCTGGTTGTGATGAACCTGCAGGTCACGCTGAAGGACAAATTCAATGAGCGTCGTTTTGTTTGTGTGTTGGGTCTCTGTGTGGGTGAAGCTGTGACCCGCTCTGTGTACTACTGTTCATGAATACGAGTTAAAAGCAGAATGTGAAGTTTTGCATCAACGATAAAGAAGAGCCGGCGATCCTCGAACCCTAACAATCCAAAGTTATCAAAACGTTTGAACAGTTTCTTCAGATCACTTCCAAAAGGTGCTCTCTCTCTTTTCATGAGGTGCTGTCTCTTATAACTATAACTGTCCATGAATGTCTTGAATCCAGATGCTCCAAATCTGCATCAAACACACACTGTAACAACAAAGACGTATACGATGACTCCCCCCCCCCCCCCCCACCCCCCCCCTCTCACGAGAGAAGAAGAATGTGAAAATGTAAACCGACTGCAAAACAAAAACAAAACACTGAAAATAGCTTCTTTTTTTTTTCTTTATCCGGGAAAACGTTGATCCCATTTTTCCCCTTCGTGTCCTCTCAGCTAACGTCGACTCCCGTTTGTAAAATCCCAAAGATTTGAGGGAGAAAACGTGAAGCCATGAAAATGAATCCTGAATGTCAAACTCTCTGCAAAGTTTCAAACACAATCAAAGAGCGGACGTAAAGCTACTCCTACTGTTTGAGATGAAAGTGAAATATTTTTCTCCTGATTTTGACTGATACCATATAAATATAAATATACATGATTTATAGACATATTTTATTGATTGCAAAATACTGTAATTGATGTCAGAACCTGAAGATGCTGAAGACGAAGCATAATGTCCTAGCTGTGTGAGTCTCCGTCTGCTGGGTAACTGTCGGGTTTACAGGTGTAGTTTATGTTTCAACACGTCATACTGTAGCCGGGACGTTTTAAAGTCCTCTCAAGAAGTGACGCTGAACTACATTAAGAGTCTCAAGGAAATTAGAAAAACAAGGTGTTAAGGTTTTTTTTAAACCAGAGTACAAACATGTGCTGGTGATTTTAGTGTAGTTCTTTTGTTTTTGTTTTTAAAAAGGGGCATTTCCAAATCTTTAATCTTTTGTTGATCTCTGTTAGTGACCACTACGCTCTGCAGCAACATGTAGGCCTGCACATCTCATTGAGCTAAAGTCATCTGCAAGTCACAAAAAAAGTCAGGCAGTGATGCAGAATCGTACTCCTGCTAAAATGACACACCCATATCTGACGTTAAGTACCCATAACGTTCTGTGTTGGACGAAGTTTGAACGTGTTGGAGAAGATTAGTTTGTCTATTTCAGCAGAGATATTTCTACAAAAGACGCCTTTTTGTTTTTTATTAAGCACCAATTTTGAAACAGTCATGTCTTCCCCAAAACGACACATCTTAAAACATCTCATTCATCTTATACACATCGTATAAAGATCCAATCTTAACCTGGCAACCCGATTTAATTCAAACATGTTTGATATGTAGAATTTAAAATCTTAACGATTACATCATGAAAAGTCGTGTGTGGCTACAACAAACAGGAGAGACGAGGGAGGACAGTAATGGAGAACGGGGGCATGACGGAATCAAAAAACAAAATGCACCTGATGGTTACAATCTGACCTCCAGCTCTTTCTGAAGAATAGAAAGTTCCTGTTGTCCGTGTCTCCCCAGACATTTTCTTCACTCAAAGTTAAAATAGAAGAATGTTTGACGTTGTAGAAGAGTGTCTTATAATTGTACCCACACCTGGACATTTATGAGTGCTGATAAAGAACGCCACTGAGCTTTTTGTAGCTTAACAGAGACACATACAGATGTTGTAGTTTAAAGTTTCATTTCACACTGAGGGGCAGGAGGTTATTGTTTGAAACAGCTCGTGCACGTCAAAAGGCAGAGTCTAAAAATGACCAAAATCTAAGAAACTGGCCTCCACAGAGACGTATGTTTTCTGTACTCTGATGCAACACAAAACAAACCTTTAAGGATATTATTTTGGGAGCCTGAGAGGATGAGACATGTAAAATGTTACTCCTGCATTTCTGTGAGATCAGCTGTCGACTGTATGACTTGAAGAAGGTGTTTAAAATCCCCAAGATGAAACTATTCTGCAGTTCAAACTGTAAATCAACACACATGTATTTAATGTAAAAATCCCCCTCTATGCAGTTCAAAAAGAGTCTCTGTCCTCTTACTCATGCACATTAATTATCTCAGCGGTGACGGTCCAGTCCAGTTCATTCAGAGGGTCATTATGCAAAAAGTCCGGACGTTCACACCACTTTATGCAAGCTGTCCACTCTCATGTCGCTTTTGCCAATGCTGCTCGTTAATTTATGATTCATGCCACTGTAAATAAATTATTTTTATGGAGCTGGATTGACTCTGTCTTTTGATTTCAACCCTCTGAGAAGTTAAGTTCTACTGATTTTATATGTTTATACTTTTGTACTTTTTGTTGTTATTTGTTCGGTGAGTACTTTTACACTGCAGGAGCTGGGGATTGAACTCAACTCCGGTTTAGAGAAGGCCGACTCTTCCACTGAGCCACAGTCGCCCCAGTATGAAATTGCATGAGCAGCTTGTTCACTTTGTGTGCAATGCTTTCTTTTCACCAGCAGGGGGCGACATATTACATGGATATAAGATGAACCTACACACTGTTGTCATGATCCAGCATTCATTCAAGAGATAACTCAGAATAATAATGAACCCGAGGATAAAAACGATAAAAAGTAAGCGTATTTACTCCTTATGACGTCATAATGGGCAAATGACCTGATGTGTCACATAACATTTTTTTAAATCTATTCCTCCAGTTGTTTTTGCTTATTTGTTTTCATAACATGCACTATTAATACGCATTTGTAAAAAAAAAAAAAGAAAGAAAAGAAAAACATACATTTATACATTTTCAACACACTTACAGGTAATTAGATTATTTCTACTATTATTATCCCACACCTATACACAGGCGTGTTGTTGTCATTGTCAACAGGCAACTGCTTGGGGGCCTCAGGCCAGTAGGGGCAAAACAGCAAACATCAGCAAAATGTGCAACATTTGTAATGACAGTATGAAACCTCCTTGAAGAGGCCCCATTTTACAGTACTCACTTATAAAATAGTAAATGCCTGAATGATGCTCGTCTACCCTTAAATATGGACGAGAGACAAAAAATGAGTTAAAGATAATATATTTATAACATAACAGACTCTAAAATCGCCTCTGCCCATACACACCTGTATTCTGCTTTATCTGCTGTCGCTGAAAAGTAAACCAGTTGGACATTTAACCTCTGCTCATTACTCTTATTTTCCTGTTTTTATTGTCGGCTCTCTGTTTTGGTCATGCAGCAGTTTGTAATGACACCTCAGGGATCACGTGGCGTCCAAGAAGCAGTTCCTTATTTCAAATGTGGAGCTTGAATTTGGAGAAGTGAAGACGCAGCCAGATGTCTTCAGTCGGTTAGAATGGGGCAACGCGAATGTAGATTACTGTTTTCACTTTCCTGCCAAGGTTTTTTCTTTCGAGACAAATATTGAGACTGCGGTCCTGAACCCGACGTCCTTTGCATGGCCCTTCAAATCTAATCACCTCCAATCAAGGCCACTGTCTGCCAGCAAAGACATGAAAACTGTTCTGAGTCAGTCTCAGATAAACCTTTTTGTCTTGATTACATTATTATGAAATCTGACTTTTGTCGACTGGCCATGAGTGTGAGATTACAAATACTACAGATAAAGTCTCTGAGATAAAGCATGCCAAACAATACCTCAAGGTCGTGAACTTCATGAAAGGTCATTATTCCTTTCCTTTCCTAGTCTTGAAAGGAAATGAACGAGTGCAGTAATAAATTCTTAGACCATAAAAATTGAAATTAACATTTGGTTAGGAAACACACTCACTGAGGGTAAGATGCTGTCAGTCACTTTATAAATGATTTTAAACTGAGTCTCCTGTTTTCACATTGTATTGGCTGCCATTACGTCATCCATCTAATAATCTAATCTCACTTGTTGCTGCATTATATCAACTTTCCACACTGTCGCAACACCCTCCGTGGTTTGTTTGTAGTCCAAAGAAAGTTGTGAATAGTTGCTTGAGATGTATTATTTCCTGACATACAAACCATGATCTACATTACAATTGGATACAATGTGTTGCCACTGTACGTGATCCAGACGTCCATTGGTGGATTTACCTGTCAGTCAAAAGAAGCCAGGCTCGCGAGAACCAAAAACAGATAAAAAAATTAAGACCTCTCACTCGAGTTCTTTTTCCAGAACCGGTAACTGAGACCTGCTAGGCCAATCGGTGTCTTATTGCCAGTAAAAAAAAATATTTTTACAACGTTTTCCACATCAAAATTGTCTTTTATAATAATTATTGTATTTTTTATGAATATGTAATGATGTTAGATATGAATGGTGTTGGATTTTGACTTGTTATGATGGGCCAAAGACATGTTTCTCACCTTGTGTGACAATAAAGTTAATCTGAATCTTTCTCTCTTTTGTATATGTTGCCATACATTTATATAATATAACTTTGAATACTTTCTTCTTTAAAATTAGCTCTTGAATAGGCCTACTCACTTTTTAAAATCGCCTACACATTTCAAAATAGGCTACAGAGATTTCAAACATTTCTTCTATTTGAAATGAGACATGTGAGACCATAAAACAGATAGTAAAGAGTGATATAATTCAATATATCTCCGTCTGTAATTGTGTCTTTTGGCAAGTTCAGAAAAGCCATAGTATCAGTTATGTTAATTGACATTTTAACTATTCATGTATACAGGTATAACAGGCAAATTAACCAAAGGTACAAGAAACAATCTCCACCAGACATCATCAGAGTGAGTCATCTTTCTGAATGTACGATCTCTGTTTTAAGGGGGCGTGTGCGTGAAGCTTGAGGGCGGTGCCCACTGCAGTCTTTACTACAGTATCTCACCTCTCGGGTACTGACAGTGTCACTAGCTGCTTCAGGCTTGTCGTATTGGACATTTTCTTTATTTACGTCGGCAGGTTTTTACTGACTCGGGTCGGACATGGCTGGCACGGCGGCTCCGAAGCGGCAGGACACCCGGAAGTTCTTCGAGAATCTGTCCGGAGCGGGGAAGTCCATCGCGGTGCTGACCAGCGGAGGAGATGCCCAAGGTAACGTGTGGTTCCATTATCGGACACCTGAGCTGAATCTGTTAAATCTATAAAATCTCCACAGTTATTCCCAAAACGTGCTTCAAGAAGAGAATCCAATATTACAATTTGATGTGTTGTTTTGTTTAAAAAAAATAAAACCTGCATTTTGTGCCTTTGTTTTTAAAATCACACAGTTTTCCTTCCACTGCACTATTAATGAAATATGTGCAGAATTTCCTCATTTTTTTTAACGTGTTTCTGATGGAGGATTCACAATTTAGTCATCACTATTACACAGGACGTAAAGATTTCCGTGTCCGATAATGGATGTGTAGCCTCAAGCTTGTCCCTACATTAAAATCACCTGTGCGCTTTAAAGAAAATGTCTCTCGTTCATTAAAGAAAGGCAAACTCTCATGTACTAAATACAGTCATTCGTATATCACTGCAACTTGGGGGGGGGGGGGGGGGGGGGGGTGTGTTCTCCGTGATTTTTTTAAAGGCTTTTAAAGGCATCTGAATGGCGATTATGCAACAGCTGACGCTCCCACTCTCACATTTCCCCATGGATGCTTCAGTCCATAAAGCACAGAGATAACATGAAAGCATCATACTGCAGCATGTTGACAACCCAGGCCTGATAAGTAGGAGTACTTATTGCTTTAGAATAATTTAGAAAGCCTATCAACAAGTGGTCTTCACAACCGAATTATTCATAGACATCTCCATGTGCATGAGGTGTTTCTCTCCTCATCATTTCTCTCCTCATCATTTCTCTCCTCATCATTTCTCTCCTCATCATTTCTCTCCTCATCATGCATCCTGCAGCAGTGTACTCGAATGGACCGTGTCGCCTGCATGGATGATGCATGTGGCAACATTTATGCATGCCATGCAACAAAATCTGTGAGCATGCACGGTGCTGCCAGGGCAAACCAAATTGAATCACCAACCCAAATGGATCATTACTTTGTCTGTGTTTCCATTATGAGTCCTGACAGTATGTAATGACCTCGCTGTAAGTCTGTATAATCAGATTTTGTTTTTAAAAGATATTGGATGTCTTATTGGGTTAGGACTGCATGTGCTTTTTTGGATAAGGACGATTCTTTAGGTTTTTCTTCTGTAATTTTTATTTTTGGCAGCACTGAAGCTTTACAAAAGTTCAGGAATAACATCTAACACATGTGCATAACCAATAGTTTTACATTATAAGATATAAGCCTGCATGACCAAATGAACTTCCCATCCCATCTCTAAGACAGCTGGTGCATTAGCCTACTGTAGATATGCACAGACAAACACGTGCCTAAGCATCACTAGAGGTAGGATGAGTCGTGAGAGGACCAGAGTCAAGCCACACACACACTGAAAACACTACAACATCTAGAACCTTTCACAACAAATGTCCCACCTTCTAGTTTCCTCTGGAGTGCTTTTACTTTGAAGGGATAGACCCTCATCTTCCGGTGTGACGGCGTGTGACTTTCCTCATCCTGTCCTGGAGGGTTGTGCAGCCTACGTGAGGAGCTGCGAGTATGCAGTGATGTGCTTATTTAGCAGAAATCCAATGAGCAGTGCAGTCTGAAATATCATTTTAGATTGAAAGGGGAAGTTTAATACTTTGAAATCATCACTTTTATACCTTATTATATTATAGCTAACTATAATTATTTAGTAAAAAATCCCCACAAAGATGTCATGTGTCCTTGGAGCTCAGATGTTCCTGAAATACCAGAACATGTATTTTTACCCTGGCACACATCCTCCTGTGTATTGCCCTTCTATGTTTTATCAGCATTGTGCTCTGCCGTCTGTTCGTGTGGGTTAAACCACATGCTGGCTTACAGGCTCTTACATAACACCCCTCCTATAGCACAGCATTGAAGTGCGCTCATTTGTTGTTTCTCAGCCTCCCTGCAGCAAATCACAGCACATCGGCTCTAATGACGAGTTTTAAGGTCTGTGTTTGTGGTGATGACATTGATTGTAATGAGATATTGTCCTCCTGGCAGCTTCTGAGGTTTAATGAAGCTGCACTTTGAAGCAGAACTGATGAGTACAACCAAACCAGTGTGCTTCCTCCGTCCTAGTTTCTACTCATTCATAAAAATAAAAAAACTAACTAATGAAACACACACAGGGTTTTTTTTCTTTGGTGATGGATTTAGCTTTTTTTTGTCTTGCTCCTACACTTTTATTTTACATTAAAAAATAATAGAGTAAAAAAGTAGTATTTGTTTTCAATCACACAGTCTGTGTTTGTAAAGCGCCATTTTATAATAAATGTTTTCCCATGACACTTTACAAAAGAGCAGGTAAAAGACCTTACTCTTTTTGTTATATTATCTAAAAGGACCCAACGAGCACCGCACTTAGCAACATTTAGCAAAGTTACAGTGCCAAGAAAAAAACATAATTCTAAGAGACGGAAATCAAAACCAGTCTCATCTGCCGAAACTGAGCCGGGCTTGACCAATGGGATAGGGGGAGATGCAGGAAGAAGGATGGGGACAAACATAGCATAGCAGCAGGCTCCCAGGAAAATATGTGGTTAGTAACTTAAATAGTAGATGAAGATTTACACATAGTGATGTGTAGTATGATGTTAATGCAGAGAGAGAGAGAGAGATAGGAGCTCAAGGTACCAGTTCCCCCCCACACTCTAAGCCTATAGCAGAATAACTGGGAGCAGGTCCATACCTGAGCCAGCCCCAACTGTAAGATTTATCAAAAAGGAAAGTTTTAAGTCTATTCTTAAAAGTACAGAGAGTGTCTGCCTCCCGGACCCTGGTTGATGATTCCATAGGAGAGCAGGTCTGATTAACTGAAGGCTCTACCTCCCATAGTACATTTAGAGACTGTAGGGACCACGAGCAGGTCTGATAACTGAAGGCTCTACCTCCCATAGTACATTTAGAGACTGTAGGGACCACGAGCAGGCCTGATAACTGAAGGTTCTACCTCCCATAGTACATTTAGAGACTGTAGCAGGTCTGATAACTGAAGGCTCTACCTCCCATAGTACATTTAGAGACTGTACCATGAGCAGGTCTGATAACTGAAGGCTCTACCTCCCATAGTACATTTAGAGACTGTACCATGAGCAGGTCTGATTAACTGAAGGCTCTACCTCCCATAGTACATTTAGAGACTGTACCATGAGCAGGTCTGATAACTGAAGGCTCTACCTCCCGTAGTACATTTAGAGACTGTAGGGACCACGAGCAGGTCTGATAACTGAAGGCTCTACCTCCCATAGTACATTTAGAGACTGTAGGGACCACGAGCAGGTCTGATAACTGAAGGCTCTACCTCCCATAGTACATTTAGGACTGTACCACGAGCAGGTCTGATAACTGAAGGCTCTACCTCCCATAGTACATTTAGAGACTGTACCATGAGCAGGTCTGATAACTGAAGGCTCTACCTCCCATAGTACATTTAGAGACTGTACCACGAGCAGGTCTGATAACTGAAGGCTCTACCTCCCATAGTACATTTAGAGACTGTACCACGAGCAGGTCTGATAACTGAAGGCTCTACCTCCCATAGTACATTTAGAGACTGTAGGGACCACGAGCAGGTCTGATAACTGAAGGCTCTACCTCCCATAGTACATTTAGAGACTGTACCATGAGCAGGTCTGATAACTGAAGGCTCTACCTCCCATAGTACATTTAGAGACTGTACCACGAGCAGGTCTGATAACTGAAGGCTCTACCTCCCATAGTACATTTCGATTTCTAGATTTCACACACTCTCCGTTGTTGGAGAATGGTCCATTGCATTGGGTTTTTTTTCCAGCTTTGTCATATGAAGGATGATAGCATGGTGAAACCTGACATTGTTATCCAAGGAGTAGTCACATCCCCTTCACATTTTTCAGATAGGAGCCAGTGAATTGGACGTCTTGTTTGAAGCATGTGGTGTGGGAGGACATTTGGCAGAGAGGAGTCCTGCTGGCTGTGTCACAGAGAACAGGCTGGCAAAGACAAAACATACCACCTGCTGTTTAGAAAGAATCTGTTTTTTATTTAAACATGCATCACAGAGGGATGGGTGATATGGAAGATGTTACTGACTCCAAACATTTGTGATAAAAATTAACTACAAAACAAAAGTCACATAAGGAACGATGAGTAACAAGCCATGAAAAAGAGGTCTTTGATTGATCAGTAAATCAAAGTTCAGTCGCCTTATTTCAAATATTTGAAGATGCAGAACCTGTCTAATGTGCTGTGAGCTTCAACACGATGTGTGTATCAGTCAGTAATTGTGTGACTCTAATTGTTCTTTTAGTCTGTAATTTGATTTTAGGGCTTCTGTGCACAATCTCTCCATCAGGATGAATGAGCTCTGAGTCTGCATGCGGGATGCACCGCTGAAGCAAAATGTCAACAACACATCAAATACAGAACAGCATCGGATAATTTATGTGTTAATCACAGGGGCTGAAGGTTTAGCTCAGTGTGTAGAGAAGGGGCCACATTAACACATCGATGCATCGGGCACAGCTTCGACTCCCGCTCTCGTCCCTTCGATGCATGTTGTTGTCTCCGCTCCACATTTCCTGTCTCTCCCCTCAGCTGTCCTCTAAAAGCAAAGAAGTCCCCAAACATCTTTTTTTCTTTAAGTGTTGATCTCAGACTCAGACTGAGATTTATCGTCTGTCTTGTTTTTAATTTCACTAAGTGCTTCGGCGCAGACGTCCTCATGGGCATTTTGATGTCTCCTCTCTCTCTGTGGCTCTGTTTCTACATGAACCTTTTAACCTCTGCTGTTGTCTGCTGCCTGTGTGTCTGTCGCTCCCTGTTCGTGTTGTTGTGTTTCATTTTGTCCCCCTTCTTTCTCTCTGTCAGTTTAAGTGGAAATCTACAATTACTTTATGATTTCAGTTAGATTTTCTTTAGACAGTAAACTTGTGCTATACCTCATTATTCATAAGAATCAATAAGGCTTTATGGGTAGCTTCTATCCTGCTTTGCTGCATATTATATCCAAGAAAACAATCTGTGTTTTAGATATTACACTTGGCTCTTTACTAATTCAACAATTCTTCATTTTTAATTTTTAAATTCTGTTGAAGACATGATTTTTTAAATACCTCGGAAAATAAATGTTTTTGTCGCTTGAAAAATATTGTAAGTGGAGCGCCGATAGTCTAGTGGTTAAGTCATGCGCCCCATATCCAGAGGCTGTAGTCCTCGTCGCAGAGGCGTGGGTTACAATCTGACCTCGGCCCCTTTGCTGCATGTCATCTCCCTCTCTCTCCTCCCAACATGCCTCGTCTCTCTTCAGCTCTCTTATCAAGACAAAAAGGCCAAAAAAATAACTTTAAAAAAATGTCCTGTGTTGCATTTTTATTTTTTGAATTCTTTAAAGAAAAAAATGAAGGTCACTTGATAGTTGGATGCACTCAAATAAAATTAGTTTTTGTTGTTGTGAAAATCTAAAACTCTCAAGTAAACTAACACCTGCAGTAAATCCTGAAGTATACATGTCTAACACATCATCAGTATTACTCATGGTTCAGACGGTTTCCATTGAACTCCTCTTTGTCCTTCTTCTAGGTATGAATGCTGCAGTCCGGGCCGCCGTCCGGATGGGAATCTACGTGGGAGCGAAGGTGTACTTCATCCACGAGGTGAGGCGTGACTCAGGGATCCAGACTTAGCCGCCGGATAGTCTGCCAACTCCTTTATATTTGACACTGAGCCAGACCAGGCCTGACGATTAAAGGCCACAGGTCGTTGGGTTTGAGAGAGAACCCAACCACCGGATGTTAAGATAAAAAGATTTAAAAAAATTCTCCCTCTGAGGCGTTCTGTAAAATGTTCCGCTTCATATCATGTGGAGGCGACAGAAGAAAATACATAAGTCTGAGATTCAGATCAGCATCAAAGACAATGGTGGTTATTTCCTTTCTATATTTTTAAAGCGTTCCTCTCGTCGATGTGAATATCGGCCGGTCTCTGCGTCATATTTTCTTCTGGTCAGACGTTTTCATCACCCCTCTAGGAGATTGTTCCTCCTCCTCTTTACTGACACTATACATCTCCCTATAAGGCCGGTCTATATTTAAGACGAGCTGGAAGCAGGACAAACATGTGCATGGATGGATTTAGACACAGCTCTTTGTGATTACAGCTCGGGGATATATCAGATTGTTTCAAACATTTCATTTTAAGATTATGAAAAAACACACGGCCCAAGGTTAGTTAGTGAACCTCTAACCAGTAGGGATTAATGAGGCGCCATAGAGCCTAAGCGGTTATGTTGCACACCCCGTGTACAGAGGTTATGGTCCTGTCTCAGAGGCCGTGGTTCAAATCCGACCTCGGCCCTTTGCTGCATCTCTCCTCCCAACGTTTCCTTGTTGTCCTATCCATTAAAGGGGAAAAAAAGCCCCCCAAAAATATCTATAAAACAAAAAAAAAAAAACCTAGATAATGTTACTCTTGTTCCAAATGAAATGTCTTGAATGTAAATGTGCAGATTAAATTGACTGGGCGCCATTGACGACGGTGACAGAGGCAGGTAGAGAAGGTCTGGTGTCAGTGTGGATATAATTGGATTATCAGTGGCAGGCTTCATCCTTCACTGACTACACTGTCATCCCCGTCAGCCTGGAGTAACCCCGGAGCAGTAAGTAATGACAGCTGAGCGCCATGACACCACTTAGTGCGCAGTATTTTGGGAACCTTCAAAGCACAAATGAAAACATCAGATGAACAACTTGAGCGACTGAAAACTGATTGAAGGCAACTCTGATTTATGTTTTTAAAGGAGCGGTATGTAACTCTGACTCCTAGTGTTTAAAATGGGTACTGCAGTACAAATTTAAAACACTGTCGAGAGCTGTCTCCCCCCCTCGGGTACAATCACTTCTATCTGAACCACTTCTCTTGACCGCTTCCATCGCTGCAACACCTGTTGACCTGATAACTGCTCTCATATCTGGCAAACCGAGGGGCGTCCAAAACGGCCGTGTGGGGGGTCGCCTTAAAAGCGCCTACCTTCTCTGGTCCAAACAAATCCAGAGATGTTTTTACTGCTTATATTTGTCATTTTAAAAGACCTTGAAGTACTGTACAGCTGACTCTATCTCACATCTCAAGACATTTCATACAGACTGTAAAAGACTTTGTAGGACTGGGTATGTTGCAGGATCACTGTTTACAACACTACTACTTGATTCATTTCCAGATAATATCCCATCCTGCTCCTGGTTGAAATTTCCCAGAAGAAAAACAATGCAGTGGAAATAGAAACATCTTTTATCCACAGCTGTGGTTTGCCTTAGCTGCAGATTGATGCTGTAACATTAGCTTGGTTAGCTTTAAAAGCTTTCAGTCCACTAGTGACGCTCCGCCCTCCTCCCTACTTCAAACTTTAACAGATTCACCAGAACTTACTGCAGCTTCACTTTTACAGTGTCCTCAACAAGCAACACATGTCCAACTTTCAAGTTGCAGTCAGTTAGGACAGTGTTTTCCAAAGTAGGGGTCCTGACCCCCTGAGAGGTCAGCAGGGGGTGCTAGGGGGTCACAGAAACTTGGAGGGAAGTGGGAGTAACTAAACTAAAACTTGTGACAATAACATTTGAATATATTAGTTTTTATCACTGTGTATTGACATTGTGTTCTTTTTCTATGCCAATCTTTCAATCTAATTAAAATCACACACCACTCTAGCCAATCAGAATCAAGCAGCAGCTACAGTAGGAGTGACACTGATGGATCAGATAGGTGCTGTATCTTTGGGTTTCAGTGTTCTGTTTGGAAACGAAAAACCCCTCTGAAGATGTCTTTTTTTTATCTACTTGTTATTTATTCAACATTATTTGGAAAACATTGTTTTTGAGAAACAATAAATTAATTGATGAAATGAAAAAAAAAAAGTGTGATGCAGTTATAAACATATAATAAACTGTAGAACATCAAACACAAAAATCTATCAGTGTCTGTAACTTAAGAGGTCAATTTAGTCATTTGATTCATTTTAATATTGGACAGAGGTATTTAACCTGTGGAAACAATGTGAGCACTTTTATTATTACATTTGTTGCTTTGTTTGTCTATTTCCGTTTCTCTCAATGTGTATGTTAAGTACAAGATTCTATGTACGTACGGCATGGGAAATTGGATTTTTGTAATTCCCTGTTTGAAAATAAATAATGAAAAATCTGACAATTTAAGATATCTAAGAGACAATAAAATGTCCAGTGTGCAGAAGGGGCTTGTAATGTCTAAAAAAAAATCTAAAATCCTGATTACAAATGTCAAACGTCCTCATTAATGTTGGCGTAAAGGATTGTGTGAATGTTTATCATGTTTGTTTCTCCTCTCAGGGGTACCAGGGGATGGTGGACGGTGGAGACAACATCAAGGAGGCGACGTGGGAGAGTGTGTCCAGCATGCTGCAAGTGGTGAGCAGAGCGTCACCCCTCCGCCCTGTTATTACACGGCTCGTTCAGAACACTGTCTGACTGATGAGCAGGAGTCTTGGTGCTGAGGTCAACACAGCGGATATCTGCTGAGTCATCTGTCAGGCTCATTGGACTCGACAGCAAAAGGCATTAGCTTCGAGCCAAATGAGACTGTGATTGAATTAGACCTGCTGACTGTTTGTCATTGTCAGACTGTCATTGTCCAAACTGGATTACTCTCAGTGCCACATTTAAAAAGATTTAACTTGTGGAGGGGCGATATTACAAAGAATATGACACCATGTTCAGGGCTGCTGAACGCCCCTCTCAACCCATTTATTGTCTATGCGCAGAGCAAGGCCGAACTTTCCGTCTCTGCGCTGCATAGAAATTAAAACACTTTCATCTTTGGCACAGCTCTACATGACGACACCTCACATCCAAAGGGAGGTTTGATTAGACCACAACAAACAGACCCACCATCCCTGAGCTTTATTCTAAAGACCTTCTAGGACATCAGTGAGACAGCTCTTGTTAATGTTCAACTCTTAAAACCCTTTTCATTTCTTGACTTTTATTTTTCTAATTTAAATTAATTTCATTTGAATTATTTTTGTTTGAACATATTTTCAGATTTAATAATTTCAGTGATTTTTTTTATTTTCTATTTTAATGTTTCTTTTCCTTTTCGCTGTCATGATGCTTTTGTGAAGCACTTTGAATTGCCTTGTTGTTGAAATGTGCGACATAAATAAATTTGCCTTGCTTGTTTGGAGAGTAATTTCAAACAATTTGAGCGTCCCAGATGTGTTTTAAAAAAACCTGCAGAAACGTCTGTCATGCTTGTGAAGTGGTCGTTACAGAGCTGCTTCTCCTTCTCTTTGTGCCCTGATCTACAGGTGTAAGAATGATTTAGAAAAATGTTTTTTTTTTTTCATACAAATATGAATAACAACTCTGTGTTTGTGTCAGGGCGGTACAGTCATCGGCAGCGCCCGCTGTAAAGAGTTCCGTACCCACGAGGGCCGCCTGAAGGCCGCTCACAACCTGGTCCAGCACAGCATCACCAACCTGTGCGTGATCGGAGGAGACGGCAGCCTGACGGGAGCAAACCTGTTCAGAGAGGAGTGGAGCGGCCTGCTGGATGAGCTCGTCCAGCAAGGTGACCTCACTCACCGCCGGGCTTCTGGGTGATTTCCTACGAAAGTAACTCCACGGGTGGGAGGAGAATTCATCTTCCCTATCTCTCTGATTTTTGCAGGTCTGATCGATGACGAGGCAGCCCGCAGTAACTCGGAGCTGCACATCGTCGGCATGGTGGGCTCCATCGACAACGACTTCTGCGGCACGGACATGACCATCGGCACCGACTCTGCTCTGCACAGGATCATCGAGGTGGTGGACGCCATCATGACCACCGCTCAGAGGTGAACAAAGTCTGAAAGGAGAGGAGAAGAGTGCAGATTTGACATGACATAGTAGGCATTAAAGGGGAACTTTTGCCGTTTTAAAAACATGTATCAAGTGTCTAAAGAAGTCACCAAAAGTTCTGCAATTGTTTGTGCAGATTACTTAATCCTTAAAGTCTTTATCTGTGATTTTAACACTTAAATATAATATAAATCAAGTATATCCTCTGAAAATAACTCTGTGAGTCATGACTGTCTACAATGGGTGTAACACCCGAGTCCCACTGTCTGTGATGTTTTCAGAGTCCTATCTTCACTTTGTTTACATCGCCCGGACGGCCGGCTGACTCCTCCCCTCGAGTATAAAAGTTGTTTAATTGAGGAACTAGAGAAAAGAAGAATAACATACTGTACTCACTGCTTAACTGTGTTTCTAGATCACGCTCATTTCAGGTAAATTTACATGCAGTGTGAAGATACCAGCATAATAAAGATCGCTAGCATTAGCATGCTAACACAACAATGCAGCGCAGTTGTTTTGGTTTCATGCTGGTGCTCAAGGGCGACATCTGCTGGATCAAAAATCACATATAAAGCCTTTAAGCACTGAGGTCAACATGCATTGTTTGGTAAATATACGTCATAAAAAAACTTAACTACATACATCGATGTAGCTAACCCCAGTACAATACTGCATACATGTTAAATAATAATACCCCTTTAATCTATAAGAAAAGACATTACTAACAACATGTGACAACACAAGAAGCCTAAACCAGCCTAGAAAGCATGTGACAAAACATGACAACAAAGAAGAAAATCTGTAGCTGCAGCTATTTGTCGATGACGGATAGATCCATCCTTAGATATCTGAGATGGTACAAAGCTTAAAGACGTTTTCTTTAGGCAGTGATAGTGAGTGTGTCTTAACCATTCATCCTGTGCTGATCTTTTATAACTGATCCCTCCTCTGTGTTTCACTGATAAGTGGTTTTTCTTGTGTTTTTTTTTTTTTCCAGCCACCAGAGGACTTTTGTGCTGGAGGTCATGGGGAGGCACTGCGGGTAAGCACTCACACACTCTTATTTTATGGAAGAGTATTGTACTGTTTGATATATACTACTGCAGGCCTACTGTCCAAAGAACCAAATGAACAACAGAGAGAAGCACTCAGGGACACTCACACCACCAATCTGTACCATGCCTAACCACACTTCACCCCTAATGTCCAGTTCCTTTGACTGGTGTGAGTGTCCCGTTGTTAAATTGTGTGTGTGTGTGTGTGTGTGTGTGCAGATACCTGGCCCTGGTCAGTGCCCTGGCATGTGGAGCAGACTGGGTTTTTATTCCAGAAATGCCTCCTGAGGACGGCTGGGAGGACAGCATGTGTCAGAAACTATCTGAGGTAACGCACATGCACACGCTACACTATCTTTTCATTACTTAAAGTTTCAGTTTCAGTTTTCTTACAACATGTATTCATAATTTATATAGAGGCACAATTATACTTATACAAGCACAAACAAGCTGCATTACATTCTTATTGTACTTGTTGGTAAAGAAGCTTGGACGTCTGTGGGACATATTTTTAAGTGTTTGAGCAGATGTCTCTGTTGTCCCTTTAAACACACAGCCTGTTGTGAGTCTAAAAATAACAGCTGACATCTCATACCACAGACTTGCCACCGTCAACTTAAGTTGCTCTCCATATGAATGGGTAGTTTCACTAAACTTTTCCCACACACACACTGAGAAACAAATCGCACCAGTGCACTGTAACCCTGAAGTAGGAAATGAAAGTGAAGGTAATGAAGCTATAAATCAGGACTGTAATAAAGAGCAATCAATGGAAAGATCAGAGTGAGTCATAGACAATGGGGTCATTGAGTAATCTCAAGTCATTTACGGATACTGCAAATATTTTATTACTGGTCTGACTAACACTGTAAAAGTGCGACTCTGGTGGGACTCGAACCCACAACCTTTGAATCACTTCACAAGTGTCTGCCTAGAAGTCCAATGCGCTATCCATTGCGCCACAGAGCCAGCTGTACTGTGAGGCTGTTAGTGAACACCATATGTTTCCACTTACTCAAACACACACACACACACACACACACACACACACACACACACACACACGATGAGTCAGGACAATCACTTCAGTAGGTTGAACCTCTGAACTTGTACTCACAGTTAACAAAACCAAATTAGAAGATGCAGTTTAATCAATCTTAAAGTACGAAATAGATGTGTGCACCAGAAGTTAAACAAGCTTCTGTTTTAGTGTTTATTACAGGACTTTTTTCTTCTCATACCTCCATTACACTTCACTCATTTAAAATATAATAACTAGAAGTAAGAAACAAGAATCAACAGTGTATAAAATTGGGTTTTATCCATTGCGTTACATTCTGTTTATTCTAATAAAAGCTGAAAATTGCCCATTTTAGATACAATTCTCTATGAGATATCTCTATTAAAACAGAGCAGTGTGAGGGGCCTGTTAGCGATGTGTACTGCAGCCAGCATTTCCTCTAGGAATACAAAGATTGAAATATTTAATTAAACTTTGACCCTGACAGGATTTGAACAATGTAAATAAGAAACTGCTAAGAGCCAGTTGTACATTGAAAAACAACACACATAATGGCATGAAAACCTGCTGTTGTCACAGAATACCAGAGTTGGTCTGTTGATACAACAACATTAAGCAGCACCATAACAAAAGTCAAGTAAAAAAGGCACCAGCAGCCTTATTTTGAATACTGACGTATAGAAAAAAACTCAATGATTCTTTTTTCTTCCGGTCACACCACAAGTTAACTTGACTTTTACAAACACTGAAAACTAAGAGAGTCAGAACTTTTCGAATACATGTTTTAAAATAGTAGACCTTTAGTTCAAAACGTGGTATTCGTTTTGATTTTTGGTAATTCCTTTTAGCTGTAATCATAATTAATTAAACCCATTCTAGCCATTCTAATTTTGGAATATTGATTTATCACTTTGTTGGCAGCAATCCCATGTGGCACAATTATAAAATCTGGTCAAATATAGAAATTTACCAGTAGTTGTGCTAAATTGAAAGAGTTTTGGTGAAGTAAAAATCTATGAAGAAATAAAAGAGCAAGATAGGTGACTAAGAGGCAGAATACTTTATATGAAAAATAAAAATGTGTCTTAAGTGGCTGACCAATAATGATAATTTCTTGTAAGACATAAAAGTGATACACTCGGTGAAGGAGCATGCTTTGAATGAATATTTCAGACTGGAGCAAACACTTGTGTAACGTTATTATCCTCTGCCATAAGTATTGACTCTGGTGGTGACTCATCACAAATCTTTTATACATAATGTGAATATTTCTATTCTGGTATGACTGGTGTTAAAAAGTGCGACTCTGGTGGGACTCGAACCCACAACCTTTGAATCACTTCTCTAGTGGTTTTGCCTAGAAGTCCAATGCGCTATCCATTGCGCCACAGAGCCTTTAATGCCAATGGTCATTCAGTGACGATGTAGCCACTTCGAGTGTCAGAGACTAGCACAAGTTGGTCATTTAGATCCAAAAGACTTGTAAACCTCAAACATCTATTGAATCAAATGCAAGATGGGTCCCCAATGAAGTACGGCCCCAATTAGTGTTCAAGACTTGTGACCCTCAAAGGGCACCTGAATAGGCCTGCTTATGATGAGATGAGATGAGATGAGATGAGATTCAACTTTATTGTCATTACACATATACAAGTATAGAGTAACGAAATGAGGTTTGGCATCTCACCAGAAGTGCAAATAAGCAGAAAGTGCAAGAGTCTGTGCTATGTACAGTAATTGAGTGCAAGAGTCTGTGCTATGTACAGTAATTCTGTGCTATGTACAGTAATTGCAAAATTTACAGATGTAGACAAAAAAAAGTGAATTATGAGGTATATCTGGATGGCTGGATTAATGGGATGCAATAAATATAAATAAATGCTATAAATAAGTAATGCTACAAAATAAGTGTGTTCTTAGGATTATAATGTACAGATTAAGATGCAGTGAGCATGCTATACTAATAATATACAGATTAAGATGCAGTGAGCATGCTATACTAATAATATACAGATTAAGATGCAGTGAGCATGCTATACTAATAATATACAGATTAAGATGCAGTGAGAATGCTTTACAAATAATATACAGATTAAGATGCAGTGAGCATGCTATACTAATAATATACAGATTAAGGTGCAGTGAGCATGCTATACTAATAATATGCAGATTAAGGTGCAGTGAGCATGTTATACAAATAATATACAGATTAAGGTGCAGTGAGCATGCTATACAAATAATATACAGATTAAGGTGCAGTGAGCATGTTATACAAATAATATACAGATTAAGGTGCAGTGAGCATGCTATACTAATAATATACAGATTAAGATGCAGTGAGCATGTTATACTAGTTTACAGATAATATAAAGAATATGGACATAATATGAACATACTATAATACAATAATACAGATGGATGAGAGATGTGTGTGTGTGACCAGGAGGAGTGGTGGGGTGATGATGGGTGTGAGGTGATATGGAGGGGAAAGGGGGTCAGCAGGGTGCGGAGAGAGAGAGGGAGAGAGAGTTCAGAGTTCGGGGGGTAGAGTTCAGTAGAGAAACAGCTCTGGGGAAAAAGCTGTTCCTCAGTCTGCTGGTTCTGGTCCGGAGGCTTCTGAAGTGCCTGCCGGAGGGCAGGAGGGTAAACAGTCTGTGGGCAGGGTGGGAGGAGTCTTTAAGGATGTCATGAGCTCGCCGCAGACAGCGTGTTCTTTGGACATCCTCAATGGCAGGAAGTGGACACCTTGTGATGCGCTGGGCGGTTTTTACCACCCGCTGTAGCGCCTTACGGTCTGCGACAGAGCAGTTTCCGTACCAGACTGAGACACTGCTGGTCAGGATGCTCTCGATCACACAGCGGTAGAAGTTCATCAGTACAGCTGATGAAATTTAATACATTTCTTTGATGCATTTTCATTTAGCAACTCCTTCATAAATAGCAACTCTGGTGGGACTCGAACCCACAACCTTTGAATCACTTCTCCAGTGGTTTTGCCTAGAAGTCCAACGCGCTATCCATTGTGCCACAGAGCCATTTATGCCAGTGCTCATTTAGTGACGACGTAGCCAATTAGCGAGTTAGAAAATAGCAGAAGTTGGTCACTTGGATCCAAAAGACTTGTGAACCTCAAACATCCATTGAATCAAATGCAAGATGGGTCCCCAATGAAGTACGGCCCCAATTAGTGTTCAAGACTTGTGACCCTCAAAGATCTATAGAATCAAAAGCAAGATGGGTCATCAACCAAGGACGGTTGCAAAGGGCACCTGAATAGGCCTGCTTATGATGAAATTTAATACATTTCTTTGATGCATTTTCATTTAGCAACTCCTTCATAAATAGCAACTCTGGTGGGAACCTTTGAATCACTTCTCTAGTGGTTTTGCCTAGAAGTCCAACACGCTATCCATTGTGCCACAGAGCCATTTATGCCAGTGCTCATTTAGTGACGACGTAGCCACTTAGCAAGTCAGAGACTAGCACAAGTTGGTCATTTGAATCCAAAAGACTTGTGAACCTCAAAGATCCATTGAATCAAAAGCAAGATGGGTCATCAACCAAGGATTGTTGCAAAGGGAACCTGAATAGGCCTGCTTATGATGAAGTTTAATACATTTCTTTGATGCATTTTCATTTAGCAACTCCTTCATAAATAGCAACTCTGGTGGGACTCGAACCCACAACCTTTGAATCACTTCTCTTGTGGTTATGCCTAGAAGTCCAACGCACTATCCATTGTGCCACAGAGCCATTTATGCCAGTGCTCATTCAGGGACGACGTAGCCAATTAGCGAGTTAGAAAATAGCAGAAGTTGGTCACTTGGATCCAAAAGACTTGTGAACCTCAAACATCCATTGAATCAAATGCAAGATGGGTCCCCAATGAAGTACGGCCCCAATTAGTGTTCAAGACTTGTGACCCTCAAAGATCTATAGAATCAAAAGCAAGATGGGTCATCAACCAAGGAAGGTTTCAAAGGGAACCTGAATAAGCCTGCTTATGATGAATTTGATGCATTTTCATTTAGCAACTCCTTCATAAATAGCAACTCTGGTGGGACTTGAACCCACAACCTTTGAATCACTTCTCTAGTGGTTTTGCCTAGAAGTCCAACGCGCTATCCATTGTGCCACAGAGCCATTTATGCCAGTGCTCATTTAGTGACGATGTAGCCACTTAGCAAGTCAGAGACTAGCACAAGTTGGTCATTTAGATCCAAAAGACTTGTAAACCTCAAACATCTATTGAATCAAATGCAAGATGGGTCCCCAATGAAGTACGGCCCCAATTAGTGTTCAAGACT